GAGTGATTGTTGCTTGTCCAACGCAACCGGCTTGTGGCCTGAATTTGAGATTATTAAAAAAAAAAAAAAAAGATTGTTGACAAAAGATTTCACTTAAAAACCAGTGCGCTGTTACACAGTAACTTGTCAGTGAACCGACCGTTTATGCTTGCGATGTATCTATTTAAAAGAATGTTATTGAAATTGAACCCCTCTCCAGCGGTGGCTTGGGGCCAGAGAATCTGCTTTGCGTGCAGAAGGTCCCAGGTTCAATCCCTGCCCTCTCCGGTTAAAGGCAGGTTCTGGAAACGGGTTTTCTTTGCCTGAGATACTCAGGAGCCACACTCCAGTGTAAGGTGGCTTTGTATGTTCTACAATGGCGATGGATGAAATTGCTTGAGTTATGCATTTTGTCTCCTCTCTCTTTCTCGATAACATTACTAACCTTTGCGCTCTCTAGCCTTTTTGCTACAGATTCTCTGGTTGTATGTAGGGTGTGGGGTGAAATCATAACCTGGTTGCCTCCCGCCTTCTTCCCTTTCCGGAACCTCTGATCCATCTTGTCCTGCCTGAGATACTCAGGAGCCACACTGTCCGTCAGGGAGGCAACATTCAGCTCATTGGGTCAGCTCCAGCGTAAGGCGGCTTTGTATGTTCCACAATGGCGATGGATGAAATTGCTTGAGTTACGCATTTTGTCTCCTCTCTCTTTTCTCTCTTTCTCGATGACATTACTAACCTTTGCGCTCTCTAGTCTTTTTGCTACAGATTCTCTGGTTGTATGCAGGGTGTGGGGTGAAATCATAACCCTGGTTGCCTCCCGCCTTCTTCCCTTTCCGGAACCTCTGATCCATCTTGTCCAGCTCTAACAATGTGCTGTTCTCTGTGAACCTCTTGTTTTTCATTGCTGATTTCCAGATCTGCTTCGTCGAGGAACAAGGACTATCGTTTAACTGTTCTTTCTCTTTGGTTTTTCTTTTGTTCTGAGTTCTGTCCCTTTGTTGTTTCCGAGGCAGGGGGACAGGGCTCTGAACGAATCAGATCAAAGAAAATTAAAAAATTTCATTTGTTTCTTGATCAAATAAGTAATTGTTCTACACCCCACTGCATTGTTCATTGGCTGTCCCGTCCAGTCGCTTGCGCTTGGCTTACACTCTGTACTCTGCCTCGAGTCTCAGTGAGAAAGGCGGACTACAAATGTCAATAAATAAATTCAGTCCCGGACAGAAAGGGAGACAGGCGTGAAATCCCACAAGGATACGCATTTCTCCTACTAGTTCCACCCCCTCCCCAACATGATGTTGAGGCAGTGGAACAGAGCTCTGAACGAATAAGATCAAAGAACATTTTAAAAATTCATTTGTTTCTTGATCAAATGAGTAATCGTTCTACACCCCACTGCATTGTTCATTGGAGGTCCCATCCGGTCGCTTGCATTTGGCTTACACTCTGTACTCTGCCTCGAGTCTCAGTGAGAAAGGCGGACTACAAATGTCAATAAATAAATTCAGTCCCGGACAGAAAGGGAGACAGGCGTGAAATCCCACAAGGATATGCATTTCTCCTCCTAGTTCCACCCCCTCCCCAACATGATGGCCAACCAGATCCCTCCAGAAGTCCCTTAAGCAAGGCAGGAGATGATACTGTGGCTCAGTGGAAGAGCCCCTGCTTTGCATGCAGAAGGTCCCTGGTTCAATCCCCAGCATCTCCATTTAAAAGAACCTGGCAGGAGGTGAAAGGAGGAGGAGATTGGATTTATACCCTGCCCTTCACTTGGAGTCTCAGAGCGGCTTACAAACTCCTTTCCCTTCCCCTCCCCACAACAGACACCCTGTGAGGTGAGTGGGGCTGAGAGAACTCTGACACAAACTGCTCTTTTTCAAGGACAGCTGTGCCAGAGCTTGTGACTGACCCAAGGTCACATCAGCAGGTGCAAGTGGAGGAGTGGGGAATCAAACCCAGTTCTCCCAGATTAGAGTCTGCGCACTTAACCACTACACCAAACTGGCTCTGCCTGAGACTCTGGAGAGCCGCTGCCAGTCTGAGTAGACAATACTGACCTCGATGGACCGAGGGTCTGATTCAGTATAAGGCAGATTTCATGTGTAAAGTGCCTTAGCAAGACATAGCATCTGAAGTAGGGTTGCCAAACTCCAGGTGGTGGCTGGAGGTCTTACAGCTGGCCTCCAGGTGACGGAGATCAGTTTGCCTGGGGAAGGTGGCCGCTTTGGAGGATGAACTCTATGGCATCGTGGCCCACTGAAGTCCCCCCAGGTGCTTCCCAACCTTGAGCTCCCAACCCTAATCTGAATGACTAACCCCAGATGAGTTTACATTGATGACTACAATTGCTTTTGTCAACACCCTTGTTTCTTTTGTACGCTGCACATTACTGTGGACGAAAGCACTAACTCTTATGATTTTACCGACCCGTGGTTTTCTTTTTCACATCCCCTTGTACATCTGTGTGATTCTTATTCCCTTTTTCTTCCCCTTTTGCTCTTTATTTCCAATGTGCTTATTTGCCTTTTGGGTTTAACTTGACTAATGGCGTGCAAAGGGGTGCTTTTTGATCTTGAAATCCCTGCGTTGTGCCGGTGATGGGATTGCAGTAACGTGCTGTGGCTTGGGCCCTCGCAGGAGTGTATCTCGCAGTCAGCCGTGAAAACCAAGTTCGAGCAGCACACTGTCAGAGCTAAACAGGTCCTAGATACTGTGAAAAACATTATGGACTCCATCAACGTGGCGGCAGCTGACCAAAGGTAGGCATCTCCCTTTACGTTTGCCTTCTTCAGCTATGGCTGAGCGTCTTTTGCTGACCTTTCCCCCCTTTGCCATGAGATACCCACCCCTTAGAGGACTGTGCAGATCCAAGGATTTCTCTGTGTGCCTGGCCCGGGAGGGACTGTGGCTCAGTGGCGGAACATCTGCTTGGCACGCAGAAGGTCCCAGGTTCAATCCCCAGCAGGGCTATTTTTGGGCAGGAACGCACAGGAACGGAG